GGTGCCACTACAGTCACTGACACTCCGGCGCCAGGTCCTCGGTGACACAATTAGCTCCTCCCACTCCCCGTTAGGCCACACCCGCCAGTGCCCGAGGGAGGCGGAGCCTTGTGGTGCCATGCATTAGCGGGCACCCTCAGCTGGCTAGTGCCTGAGACTCACATCTCCCTGCATTGGGCTTCTTGGCTCACGGAAATGAAACCTTGCACACATAGTTGACTCCCATTCCCCTTGATATGAAGTTATTAAAGGAAAGAAACCGGTGATCTATGCAGAGACCGGTTCGAGTGTCCCCTCAGAGCGGGGAGAGTTCGGTGGCGAGACGAGCAGCGAGAGGAGCGCTCTGATTGGCCCGCCGAGTGCCTGGAGCCCCGCCCATGTCCGAGACCACGCCTGAGGCAAACCAGCAATTTGATAGGTAACAACCCTTCCAGTAAGTATGCTTTTTTCCCTCCCAAAATACAAAAATGTCCTGAGTGATCAAGCTAAGCCCTTCATACTTGTCATCTTAACCATGAGGGAACGCTAGGTTTCTCCGACACTTAACATACTTAATAAAAAAAAGAAAGACACGAGACTGTCGCATGCATTTAAACCATATAGTAATCTGCATGGGAATCTGCATGGTAAGCAGACCGCATTTCCGAACGATGATTAATTGCAATGGAACCCCCATGACCAGCAGACCGAGGACCGTCCCAGCTGGCGTTGGACTTTACCTGATGAGATAATGAAAACCAGGTGAGAAGTTCCCGATGTTCCTGCTGATGAAACTTTTATGTAATGGTAGCGTTGGCATCTGAACTTTTTAATTGATCCAAATCATGTGATTTTGGAATTGCCTCCTGGCGAAGCTCTGCCAGAAGGGTGGGGGGTGGGGGGAGGTTGTGCTTAATACAGGCCTAATGTTGTTCATGCACTGCTGACGAAGAACTGGATAGGCAAGTCGCACTAGGATTTCCGAGTGAATTTTGTGACGAAAGCTTAGGCTTCGGCGCCTTTGTGCGGATACAGAAGGAAGGATTCTTTGAAACTGTGATCGAGCTGACTCTCTGCTGAGAACTTAGCTTCCTCTTCCCCCTCCCCCACCTTTTCTCTTGCTCTTTTCCCTCTCCTCTGTCTCTCTCTGTATGTGTGTCTGACTACCTCTCTATATTTCTGCTTGACTACTTTTCTCTCTCTCTCTCTCTCGTCTTCTCTCTTCTCCCCCCTGTACATATATATATGAAAAATAAATATATGCATACTTTTGTTTGTAAGTAGACATGTGTGTGTGAGTGTGTGTGTGTGTGTGTGTGTGTGTGTGTGTGTGTGTGTGTGTGTGTGTGTGTGTGTGTGTGTGTGTGTGTGTGTGTGTGTGTGTGCGTGTGTTTATGCATATATATATATATATATATATATATATATATATATATATATATATATATATATGCATATGTATATATACATATATATATATATATATATATATATATATATATATATATATATATATATATATATATATCTCGATAGGTAGATAAATAGATATATATAGATATAGCTATATAGATATATAGACATATATTGGCTGATTGCATGTATGTAAATAAACAAATATACTCATAAGAAGTGTTTATACAAGCGCTAACACACGCATGCAGTATTGGGTGTAAATCAAACTAATGAATTATAACAAACATTCAGATAATCTTCATACTTCATACCACATCATACCTGCACATCATTACGGTTAATGATACTAGTAATTCAGAAGAACTCAGACGGTTGAATTCTAAGGGAATTAGGTGTCATATATTTCCAAAAATAATTATGAAGTTATGTTTTGCAATATACCCCATCCTCTAAAATTATAAAATGAATTTAAAAAGAATATCTGTACATTTTTTTACGATATACCTCCACTAAAATCATAAAATCATGATAATGATGATAATGATAACTAATGTTGGTGCTAAATTTGGTGGTTATAACAGTGATAATAATATGTAATAAAAAATCGATAATGATAGTAATGATAATGATGATGATAATAACAGCAACAAAACAACAACAACAATATTAACGATAATAGAATAATGAGGATAATAATAGTAATAATAATGAGGATTATAATCATGATAATAATAATATTAATATTAATATTAGTGATATCAATAACTATAATAATAATGATAATAATAATGTCAATAATGATAATAATAATATATTAATGATATTATGATAATGATAAGATAACAATAATAATCATAATAATAATAATATATAACAGAAATGATAATGATTAAATAATGAGAAATAACGAAAATAATGATAATAAGGATGACGATTATTGATAACGATAATAACGATTGTATTAATGATAACGATGATAATAATAATGATAATAATAATGATAATAATGATGATGATGATAATAATGATAATGATATTTGAAAAATAGTAATAATAATGATAAGTAATAATAATCATATTAACAACAGTGATAATAAAGCTATAATGATAAAAGGGATAATAATAATGATAATAATAATAATAATCATGAAGTTAACAACAATAATAATAATGATGACAATAATAACAAAAATGACAATAATGATAATGTTGATTATAAATAATGACTATAATGATAATGATAATTATGACCATGATGTCAATATTATCAATAAGAATAGTAATAAACGCAATGACGATCATAATGTTACTACTACTACTGCTACTACTGATATCAAATAATAATAATAATAACAATAGTGATAAAAGTAATGAATGTTGATGATAAAGGGAATGAAAATAATAATGATAGCAATAACAATAATAATGGTAATAATAGTAATGATAATAATGATAATAATAGTAATAATAAAATTATAGTAATGATAATAATAATGTTAGCAAAGAGTGATAGTAACAATAATAATAATAATGATAATGATAATAATAAAATTAATATTATGACTATAATGATAATAGTAATAATGATAGTAATAATAATAATGATGATAATAATCATGACAATAATAATAATTATAATAAAAAAATAATGATTATAATGATAATAATAATAATAATAATAACAACAACAACAATAAGAATAATAGTAATGATAATAATAGTAATGATAATAGTAATAATATTAATAATGATAAGAATAAGAATAATAACAATTATTATTAATATTATTATTATTATTATCATCATTTTTATTATCATCATCATCATTATTATTATCATGACAATAATAATAATGATAATAATGATATAATATTAACAATAATAATATCTATTATTATCATTAGTAGTAGTATTACTACTACTTTTATTATTATCAGTATTATTATCATTATCATTATCTTTCTCATTATTATCATTATTATTGTCATTGCCATTATCATTATTATTATTATTATCATTATCATTTTTATTGCAGTTATTATTATTTATCATCATCATAAACATCATTATCCTTATTTTTATCAATACCATTATTATTATCACTGTATTTATCATTGTGATGGTGATAATGATGATGATGTTAATAATGATAATGATGACCATCATTGTAATCACCATAATCATCATCAACATTATAAATATGTTACCATGATTACTCAATGATAAAGATAATAAACAACACAAAATAGCAAATGCCAGCAAACACGAAACGAAAATTAAAAACACGAACACACATAGATCATGCACATCAGTCCTGAGACAAGCGTATACCCACCACAGACGCGCCTGTATTGAATCAGTGTGGACAAGCTCAGTAAGTCAAGGTTTCTTTAGCCAACCTTCCGGAGCAGAGGCAAGGCAGCTTCTGAGGTCACAGCTGAGTCAACTCTCCCAAGATTTCTGATTCTAGGTCATGTCATTTCTTAAAGGGGGGTGGGGGGTGAAGGATGGGGGAGGAGGGGAAGGGTGAAGTCTTATCAAGCGTGGATTCTGTTCCTGTTGGTTTTATTATGATTCGTTGGAGCTTTTATTGAAATGTGAAACAGATGTTTTTTTGTTTTTTTTTTAGGGGGGAGATGGTGCATGGTGATTTTTTTTGTGTGTGTAGGAGGGGTGGGGATAGATTTGTTGTGTTTGTTATCTTGTGTTGTTGTTGTCGTGATCTTCGTTGTCTTAATCATCTCTGCAAACGTCCAAATCATCATTATCATTATTATCATACCATCATCACTATTATTGTCCATGTTATTGCCACTGCCATTACTATTATCATTATCATTATCATTAGTATCACAGTAATGATTATGACCTTATGACCAGGATATTAATCATCATCATCATCATCATTAGCATCGTTTGTATTTCTTTGATTTTTTTATATCAAAGGAATCCTCTGCATAGCTAGCTTAAACTGTCTCGCGGAAAATTAATGTTATGCTAGAACTGCAACAAAAACAAAAACGTTGTCATCATGCATTCAAACATACATAAAGTACACGCAAGCACACACTAATGCACTCCGACTGCGAATACTTCATGCTCATTCATTTAATGAGAGATGGTATGTTCAGGAGTTTTTTACCTTCTTGAACTTGTGTGCACCGGTATGCAAGCGTACATTAACGAATGGGTGAAATTAAGGCACGCACATATGCATACAAATACATACCTACATAGACACACACACATATGTACATTTATATACATATGTATATATATATACATATGTACATATATATATATATATATATATATATATATATATATATATATATACACACACACACACACACACACACACACACACACACACACACACACACACACACACACATATATATATATATATGTGTGTGTGTGTGTGTGTGTGTGTGTGTGTGTGTGTGTGTGTGTGTGTGTGTGTGTGTGTGTATGCATGTATATATATGTACATATATGTATATATATGTATATATATACATATACATATACACATATATATACATAATGATAATGATAATGATAATAATAATAACAATAATAATAATAATAATAATAATAATAAT